AGTGTTAAATGGTGAATAAACAATTGTTGCATTATTGACGGACTGTGAATACATAAGACGTTTAATTAAAAGATTTGCAACGGGGCGCTGAAATACAGATTTGATTCTTAAGTTATTCCAAAAGCAAAGGTCGTATGACATGCGAAGATCATTGTGAAATGTGGATAGGTAAGAATTTGAAAGGAGGTGATCATGGTATACTTAGAGGTAATATACCAGAATTAGCCTTGAGTGACAGAAAAAAAGACTGTCAAGGTAACTAGGGACCTGACTGAGAATCAGACAGGTCACCTTCTGCATGTATGTTGCTGGTGTGTTAACACATTGCGGACAGGTTATTTTTCTTTAGGGTGTGACAGGAAATGAGCGTGATCATGTTACTGGCTAAGCTAGCAAACATTCCCAAGGTCAACTACACAGTAGTTATGATGCAACGTGGCCACACGGCGAGATATAATCGGTTGCAACATAACGCGTCAGAAAAGGGCCAATTGGCCCGCAACGCTATAGAAAGGTAGAGGGCCAATTGGCCCCTCCGGTCCTGAATGTGTTAACCTAACTCACTCTGTTTCTCTTTCAGTGTATTGTAGTACAATGAGAAGAAGGAAGTAGCTTGAACCTGATCCAATGCCTAGGACAAAGAAAGTGCTGCTAAATGGATTGCAGTCAAAAGGTGAAAAGCAGAAGGAAAAGTTGGAGGAAACGAAAAAACGGCAAAGACTCTTAGAAGCTCAAAAGGCAAGGGATAGGAGAGCCAATCAAACTCCAGAAGAGATAGCAGGTATAGGATCAAAGTAGATTTTAATCTTTGTTTGATAACATATATAATTTACAGTAAAAATGTGATAAAGTTGGGGGTTCGCAGTAGGGTAGTTGGTTGAGGCACCATGCTACAAGCCGGAAGGTCATAGGTTCATGTCCCGATGAGGTCATTGGATTTTTTTTTAGTTGACCTAATCCTTCCAGCCGCACTATGGCCCTGGGGTCAACTCAGCCTCTAACAGAAATGAGTACCAGGAATATTCTTGGAATATTCTTTGGGGTAAAGGGCGGCCGGCACGTAGGGTTGACAACCTTACCGCCATCCATGAGCCGATTGTCTAGAAAATACAGGAACCTCAACATCTCACAACCCTACGGTCCTCCACGGCTTGTAACAGGGATACCTTTACTTTACTTTATGTGATAAAGTGAGGGAAAGGTTAGTGAATAACTCTGTATTCAGTGAGTCTTGTTGAGACACTGGAATAATATGAATAATGCTTTCCAGCATGAAGAATGCAGCTTTTGTATAGAACAATATGGGTGAAAATAGACTATAAAAAGAGAAGGAACTGTGTCCACTCTAATGTGTTATAGTGAAGTCAGTAGTCATTGTGTATCATATCTAGGATTCATCATACAAGTCTGATGGTCTACTGGGGGCTTTATATAAAAAAAAAAAAACTAAAAAACAAACTCCATGTCTTGTAGTCCGCAAGCGAACTATATCGACTGAGCGACTGCCACTTGTCAGCAAAGTTAGTGTCAACTTTTTTGGATAGAGGGTGTCATGTAGTCAGTGCAACAGATCTCGGTTTTCTAGACCGAAGCCGCTATTTCCTTGAAGTAGCTCCTCAGTTATCCTTGCAAGGCTGAGTGAACCCCATTCTAGACCCACTACTTCTCAGAAAATCTTGTAGTGCCGGGAATTGAACCCGGGACCTCAGGATCTGTAGCCAGGAACTCTGACCACTAGATCACAGAGGCGGTGTAAAAATTTTACTAGTCACAACTGTTGGGTTTGAACCTGGAACCTTCAGAACTCTAGGCTAGTAGGCTAACCACTAGACCGCTAAGATAAAATAGGACAGCAAATAAAGAATTACCATTCCTTGGGCCCTCTTGATTGCCACTTAAGTTTTACCTGGGTTTAGGAAAGCAAAGTAGTGATAAATACGATACTTTAGAAATAGGGCTCAGTGGGCATGCAGTAACATGTTTACTTACACAGACTTTACTATAGGTTTCATTTAAACACGTTTTAATCATCCTAATTTATAATACTTTCATGTGTACCCCCAACTCAGTGAGACTGTTGTACATTTTGACTCTACAAACTGAATAATACTGAATCATAGGCATTCTTAAAGCCAATGAATAGTTGATGGACTGTCTCATTGTACTCCCATTTTCTCTCCAGTGTCTGATAAATGCAAGAATCTGATCAATACTTGATCCATTATGTTGAAACCCATACTGATGATCCCCACTAATTTTGTCTACATAAAGATGTAACTTGGAGAGAAGGATGCTGGATAATATTTGTATGAAGTAGATAACAGTGAATTGTCTCAATAATTATTGCACTCAGTTTTATCAGTCTTCATGTAAACTACTGAGAATATTTTCCACTGTTGAGACAGTTCTTCCTAATTTCAAATAGAACTAATGAGTTATGGATGTCAGAATGTAATGTTTCATCAGTACTGGTTAATTTATACCTTATTGACTTTGCGGTAGCAATTATTACCTCAGATGGACTAGGCTCGAGTATTAATGTCTCAGCTGTATTATCCGCCCAACATCACTAAGCCTATGTACGTTTAATAGAGGAGAGACGTAATTCTGCCTGTTATTCAAAATGTTGTGGGAACAAAATTATTTTTTTTATTGCTAGTGGGGTGGGACTAAGTCCCTTGTACTGCGGCCACTTCTGGCCTATTGTACCAGCCCCAGATGATGGTTGAGGGTGATTGTGGAGCAGTTGGTGGAATGAAGATTGGCAGGGGAAACCGAAGTACTCAGAGAAAACCTGCCCCAAATCCCACTTGACCAGACCCGGGATCGAATGCCACCATGGTGGAAAGCCAGCAACTAACCGCTTGAGCTATAGAATAATTGTTAACACTGTCCAGTGTGATTCAATTTGTAGGCATTTATTGCCTTTACATGTTTTGGTCAGCTGACCATCTTCAGAAGGCATAAGATCAACATGTTCAGGAACTACGAGTACTATTATAAAGTTTGTAATACATACATAGAAGTTTTATATAGAAAGTTATTTACAATTATTTAGATTAAAATTTTATTAATGTCATATATATATAAGATCTTGAACCAATATTCTATAATTCTATAATTTAGTTTACTAGTGTGACAGACAAGAATAAATAAACTTAAGCATTTTTGTGGGAATCTGCAAGCATGTCGGGGGCACGCGGTAGGGTAGTTGGTCGAAGCACTATGCTACAAGCTGGAAGGTTGCGGGTTCAAGTCCCGATGAGGTCATTGGATTTTTTTCAATTCACCTAACTCTTCCAGCCACACTATGGCCCTGGAGTTGACTCAGCCTGTAACAGAAATGGTTTACAGGTAATTAAATAATTTTCCTGGGGAGTAAAGCGCAGCCAGCGCATATGGCTGACAACCTTACTGCCATCTTTGAGCCGATTGTCTAGAGAAAATGTCCGATTCTCAACGTCTCACAACCGTATGGGCCTTCACGGCTTGTTACAGGGGTAGCTTTACTTTTACTTTTTTATCTGCAAGCATGTCACCATTCTCATCATTCTGAGTTAGTTCTAGGCTGGTAGCTCCTCATAAATTCATTTATTCCTCTGTGTAAGTCTATAATGTTCTTGTTGTCTCTGCGTGTTGCAAAGCTTATTAATTTTGCCTCCTAGGTATTCTCTCTTTTTGTTACTCGAATGTCTCCTAGCTTCATGTCTTAACATTGTTCAGATTATCTCCATTTATTTGGTTTGGATCCTGTAATCATTGCAAGGCTTATTTCCTTCAAACAATTAGTTTTGTACATCTTTCATCAAACCACGGCCTATGCTGTTTCAATTTTTGATAACTTCTTGGTTGACATTTTTATATTTTCATTAATAGTTTCCCAAGCTCTATTAATATCCATAGCTGTGAAACTTTTTCAGATTTTAATCTGGTGCTTTTTTTTTTAACCTCTGCTTCACTTAGTTCTGTAAGATTGAATCCTCCATGTCAAATTTTTGTATTTCTCATTTCTTTACAGAAACTTTTGAAAGATTGGTAATTTAGGAGGAAGTGACTAATGGCAAAAGTAACAGACAGATAAAATATTAGTAAAAAAAGACATTACTCTGAAAGACAGGTACATGAAAGTATAAAAGTATGATTGAGTTGTGAACTTCAGACCATCAATTAGAATAACAGTAAGCAACACTGAGAGAAATTTCAGTATCAGGTCATTACAAAGAAACAGTAGCATAGACAAGTGAGGTGACAAAAAAGGACTGAACACATTTTACTGTTGATTCTACACTTGGGACATTTGGTAGCTGTGTAGAAAGACACTTAAATTTTAAAACGTCACGGTGTGCACAGACTTTCATCATGTTATCCCATTGTACTGAGTGCTGTGATTAAGAAACACTATCGTGTAGCAGTGGGGGAGTAAGGTTTTAATGTAACCCACACTGCAGAGCTGAGTTTATCCTGATGTTAATTTCTGTAGAAGCATGTAATTTATTTCTAGCTCGTCGAATGCGAGATGCGCAGCGAGCTCGAGAACGTAGAGCTCGTTTAACACCTGAACAGATTGCTCAGCAAAGGCATAGAGATGCTGTTTTGAAACGAGAGAGAAGAGCAAAAGAGTCAGAGGCAGAAAAGGCAATACGCAGGTCCCTGGAAGCACAGAAGGCAAGGGAGCGGAGGGCAAAGATGTTGTGCAAGAAGAAAAGTTTCACCAGCATCTGCGCTTCTGCAGCATCAAGGATGGGTCTTTCCCATTTTGTAAGTTATAAAATAAAGGGTGGAAAAGAAATGCATGCTTGAAGCAGTCGCATGGACTATCGGACAGAAGCACAGTCTAACCAAAAAGAAAATGCATGCATGAACTCTAGTTCTGTAGGTTCCGTCACAAATATTTTTCCAGACTGTGAGATATTAACCCCATGTTAGGTGGGTCCCTGTCACCATGGCATGGCGCGTCCTTAGGTTGAGGATGGAGGAGACGCCCTCCAGTTTTGGAGGGAAGCTGCGAATATATTGAATAAGCAGTCACGGACAGCCGACAAGGGGTGGCTCTCCAGCTTGGGGGTTGGGCATGCGGCTAACAACTCCTCACTGTAAAAAATCATTATGTTACAAAAATGAACACAAAGCCTTGGACCTGGACAGATTCTTTGCATTATTAGAATGGATCTTAGAGAGATAGGATGGGATGGTATGGATTGGATAGAGCTGGCTCAGGATAGGGACCAGTGGAGGGCTCTTGTGAACATGGTAATGAACCTTCGGGTTCCATAAAATGCTGGGAAATTCTTGAGTAGCTGCAGATTTGGCTTCTCCCCAAGAAGGGCACAGCTTCATGAGTAAGTAAGTAAACATGTCCTTAATATAAAATAATACCTCAGTTCTTTGTTAATAAAGTGTTCACTCATCAGCCAAGAGGACCAGTTACAGGAACAGCACAGTACAATTTAGAATAGAACAGTTGCAATAAAATTGTTGGTATTGTTCATTACACGCAAGTTTAAAAGTGATTTCACTTTAATGCCATCAACTAATTCAGACTTGTTTCAATTAATAGTGATAGCCATGATGTGCAGGCTGATGGAGAATGATGGGGAGCGAGGGCCATAGAATGCTGTGTGCAAGGGGAAATTTGGCCGAATTCCACAACCTCATCAGAACATTTATTGTTTTGTGAGAAAATTCAGGCTTGGAAGCAAGTAACAATGGATGTTTTATGTAGAAGTCACAGTTAGCATATCCATGAAATACCACTAGAAATTTAGTTGTCAACTTCAGTGGTCATAAATGCAAAACTCAAATGTTAATTTTTGCAACCAGTTCTTTTCTCCTGCTGCAATCATCTGTTTCTTCACTGTCTTTAACCATCTCCTCTTACATATCAGTGATTCATCCATCAGAATACCCACCCATCAATTTGCAACTCATCTACCATGAGACTGTTGTTATTAAAAACAGTTTCTGTCATCTAAAAACTATTTGACACTGTTTAAAACACAACTTGCTAATAACAAACAACAAGAACAACTCCATGGTTTTAGTCTTCAAGCAAATTATACTGACCAAGTGACTACCTCTTGTCGATGAAGTTAGTGCCAACTTCAACAGATAAGAGGGTGTCGCATGGTAAGCACAATGAATCCTCACAGCTTTTAATTTTGGTTTCTAGACTGAAGCCACTATTTGCTTGAAATAGCTCCTCAGTTATTCTCACAAGGCTGAGTGAACCCCATTGTAGACCCAATACTTAGAAAATTTGGTTGTGCCAGGAATCGAACACAAACCTCTGGAGATGTAGCCAGAAACTGACCAGTAGACCATAGAGGTGGTCACAACTTGCTAATATGCTTCTGAATTTTTCAGAGAAAGACAGATTATGTGTGTGTGTTTTGGGAAAACTGGGCAAGTTATTTTGACTCAGTGATGCAAGTTTTGTATGTGCATTTCAAGGACATTGTACCAGCCAGTTTATTAGCAGTGTCTAGTGTTGTGTTCTCTGACTAGGTTAAAAAAGAAATGCTGGCTTAACTTACTCAATTTTTTGGTGCCATCTCCTTCAAAACAGTATCTTTGGGAATGTATACAGTGATCCCATAATTTTTCCACGCTTCAAAAGCACTGTGGAAGTCATTTTCCTTAATGCTGTCGAGTACCTCTTGCGATTCCCTTTGGATGTCAGACAAAAACAAAATGAAACAAACAAACTTCATTGCCTGTAGTTATTGTTTTCCCAAAGATGTGAGCAATAGAAAAATAAAATTCCTTTATTGGCAGTTGGTGCCAAAACTGCGCTCATTGCCTGGCAGGTGGCCATGTGCCCCTCTTCTGTGCATTAGAGCTAGCACAAGAGGGCATCAGCCCTTGTCACTCCTAGTGTAGAACAGCGCTGTATCATCACATTCCTAGTGAAAGAGAAAGTAAAACCAACAGACATTCTTCGTAGGTTAAACATACAGTAAGGGGAAAAGACCCTATGGTTGTTGCGTTGAATTTTCTGAAAGCCAGAAAGAAGTTCAAGATAGCTTTTACCTGGAAAAATCATGACTAGTGTCTTATGGGGCTGAGGAATGATTTATGTTGATTTTTTCCACATGATGTAACAATTAATGCACGTTATTGCAGCAACTTGTTTCATGATAATGTGCACCAAGCAGTTCAGAAGAGAAATCCTGGGGAACTATCAGAGATCATCCTACTGCATGACAGCATTCTTCCACATACTGCAAATTTGACAGAGGCAGCAGTTGGCAACAGTGGGCTGGGAAATTGTGGACCATTTCCCTTGCAGTCCTAACTGGTCCCACAGTGATTTTTATTTGTTTGGACCAATGAGGGTGCACCTAGGAAGACAGAAATTTGAAACTGATAATGAACTGAAACATGGTGTCCTGTACTGGCTACAAAGTCATGATAAATCATGTCAAACAAATCAAATTCATGATAAAACCTTTTATGCTGTTGGCATCAGTAACATGCTAGGATACTGGAAAAAATGTCTTAGTGTAGAGGTAGAATATCTTTAAAAGGAGCTAGACTTTCAAGTTCTGGTATGAATATTTTTTGGCAAAAAGAATGAAGTCCACATCAGCTTTGAACCACCCTTATATTATCCAACCAAAATTATAATTATGTTAATTGATATTTCTAATGCATGCAAAAACCTGACACCCAGCCTTTGAAGACTATGCGTTAAATATGGAGACAGCAGGTACTTCCAAAACATTGGTAATCACCTACCAGACTATACAGTCTCATAACCCAGAACACTGAAGTCTAATTCCTGACTTCATTCAGAATATGTTCAGCCATGTAATACCTGTTTTATCCCCACACTCTTCCAGAGCTGACCATATGTTGTGGTGCAACATAACTATGATACATTAACTTTTGGAAGGCCAGTATATTGTAACGTGTATGGGTGACTGAGGACTGTTCAGATTGGTTTTATTAACCACTCACAGGTTGTAACTACAATTACTTACGACACTCTTGCTGCTTTACACAATTCACAATCTCTTACATGTTAATCTTCTCACGACAAACTTTCCTTGGCTATCTTCCACCAAGAACTCTTTCACTATCGCTTAAACACTATCGAATACTCCCAGATACTCTTCAGTAAAGCGGCCTCCATAGTCTAGGGGTAACGTTCCCACCTCATGACTCAAGGTACGCGGGATCAAACCCGGCGGAGGTCGTGGAATTTTTAAGGGCAGAAAAATTCAGGGAACAAGTCCTCCAGGAGGGACTTTAAGCCGTGGGTCCCATGTCTTAGCTTTATGGCACGTAAAAGAACCTCATGTCCCAAAGGGACCACTGAGCCAAATTGATCGGACATTTCCCGCCCAACAGTAGTCTCTAACGCCTCTGATAGATGGGGGAAGCANAATAATAATAATAATAATAATAATAAATACTCCTCAGTACTGTCGAATACTGACTCCTTAGATATTCAATTTCTCTTATAAACTCTCAATCGGACAGGCGGAAAACACAGCTTGCTTCACTGTTGCTGACATCACAGCCTAGCGTGGAAGGGATGTTTACTGCTTCGTAGCAACAGGCGTGGTGAGGGGGGTGTGTGATGTCACTTGCGGAAACACAGAGGTCACATGACTCCTACTCATTACCGCAGTATGACGTCATGACACCTGCATGGGAGTCTTGTTTAGCGCCTGGCACTTAGAAGCAGCTTGCATACCCTTGTTCCACTGTTGTGTAACTTAGCAACCGACTGTTTATCAAGTCTCTCTTTGTGGTAACTCGTGCCACATCCCGTCACCCAGCAACAGGTTGACATGTCACAATATATTCCCAATATGGCACATAAGATTGAAATGAAAAATGAACACTTGTATATATGAAACAGTCTTATCTGTCAAATAAACAGCTGCAAGTTCTACAGTCCAGGTTCTTTCTTAGAACATACAAAGGATCATGTAAAAATGATAATTGTCAATTGCTATTTCAGATAAGTGTTACATATAAAAAATTATCAGCTACTGCTCCCTGTGTTAAACTATATAACTACCTATATATTGAAATGCACTGCAATGGTTGCCCCTAAAACCGGTAATAGTTACGGACTGTTTCCGTTAATGTTACTGCTTCATAGAACTCATTCTTTTTCTGTTTATTGCAGATGGATTTGGCAGAGCGGACTGACTTGAGGTGTGACCAAAATGTTAATGACCCTCTTAGCGTTTCTGCAGGTGGCACTGGGTTGGGCACAGAATGGGTAAATCCTACCACATTCATTGAACTCCAGTCTCTAGATCCGTATACATAAATCACACTGTTGAGATTATGGTACATATTTTGTACCTACTTTACAATCTTTCTAACATTAGATAAAGAGATGCAAGACAAGTGTACTAAAACCCACTTATCTTGCTCCTTGCAACTGAACTAGGTACTGAAGAATTCAGTCAGAAAGTTGCTATGAATGAGCGGATATGGTGATGTCAGTATTTATTTGGGACTTCGTGTATCTTAAAATGAAAGTTGCAGTTCTGCAGTATGAGGTCCATGGATATGCGTTTAAGGAAAATTGGCTTGGGAAGGGTGGGGAGATCTTTAACAGTGTTCTTAGATTGGTAGATCAAGAATTAAGTGCTGAGTATTTTGAGGCCAATATCAAGTTTCTGGTTATCGTTGTTATTAACCTGAAAACCATGATAAGTGAAGTTGTCAACTTTCCAGTATAAGATGTGGGTTGTAACTGAACTTCTTAAGAATCATGCAGACAAATGAGACATCTCACTTTTTGATGGGGGGGCAAAGGGCTCACCAAAATGCATGAAACTAAGATGATGTCTGATATATAAACCAGTTTTATTTCCTTAAATAACACTGATTACAGTGATTTATAACTTTTGCAGTCATTTTTTTGTAATGTACTGTTTACTTGATATTTCATCATATGCCCAACTTACAGCTAGGAATACTGAAGCATCTTATTATATGTTGCATTTGCCACAAATCTAAGTGATAGAGTTTAATATGTATACAATTCAGTGTAGTATCTGTCTGTCATTGTCAGTTAATAGTGACTGAGGCTAGATCTTTCTAAGGGACCCAACAGAATAGGTGTTCTCCCTCACCTGAGGATGGAAACAGATCCAGTTTCTGAAACGTTGTGTGTTTCTAAGTTATCTTAAAACCAGGACGATGGATAATGTCCAAAAACCCAGTATCTCTGTGTGTTATACACCATCGTCAGAATCCTATAGTAACTGCTAATAATAGGCTTCTTTACACAATAAATAAACATCAAGACCAACAAGGGATGCAAAATTACAAAATATACGTGTGGAAAATCGTTGTTCTCCATAATGAAGAAGTTCCAAAATTGGGTTTTACTTTTTTTCACCTCTTGGTTTAGCATATGCCGTGGATACAGCACAGTATTGGGTATCTTACAGCACGTGTTGGATGAAATGTATAAGAAGGAATTCTTCATGCAGAGGATTAGAAATATGAGTGATTGTATATTGTGAAGCTTAAGTATGTAGGAATAAAAAAGTCAGATAATTTCTTTGAAAAATGGGTAGTGACCAGTGTCTGTTTTTGCATGTTATTGAATCTTTATAATGCAGCTTCAGCCATCCTCCCTGTCTCTTTGCTTTAATATATTTGTTACCATGTTTTCTTGTGCAGATTGTCAGACTGACTGAATTCCATAGGGGCCCACTCATTCCCAATACTAAATTAAATACAGTTTCATTGTATGACTTTGTCGCATAGCAGATCTGTGAACAGGTGCGCCAATACAGATTAAATGCATCTGCTGTGCTCTTTAACAACTTTTGAAACTGTACAGTACAAGTCAGAGTAAGTTGAATAAGTTTATAATATTGTATCCAGAGGTGTATACACAACCTTCCGTAACAGAGTCTTGCCAAGTTCAGGAAGTGGTTCCTGAACAATAGCATTCCATTAAGGTATATATAAGTGGACCTTCCCATACCATCTGGGTTGTGAATTTTGTCTGTTCTTGGTTGCCATTAGAGTAATAGTCATCAAATTATGAAACTGTGCACATTTATGATAGAATATTGGTTAATTTTATTGTTTTGAAGGACAGATATGACTACAGCCATTATAAAATTAGTTTTTTATTAGTATTTGATTAGCATACCATTCTAATTAACGTAATTTATCTTAAGAAAAATAATAAGAACAATGGATGGTTTTGAATTGCAGTTTATATGCTTAAAAATACTGGTACTATTTAAATTCTTGTTTCTCAAAATTGTTGTAGGGATGAATTTTCCTGGAGTGAAAGTCCCAATTTCACAATTTTGTTTCAGTAGTTAAAGTTGAATATATATTTAAATGTTGAGTTTGTTGAGGAATTAACAGATGTCGGTACAGGAATTCAGACGTATCCAAAATTCAAACATATGTAAGATTGCAATATGTCACTTGAAAATTATGTCTTGCAAACAGAAATTACTACAAAATTATAAATATTCTCAAAAAGTACTTTTATTGGAGCTTTAACAGAATTACAGGTATCCTGAAAATATTTGTGCCATATTTAACTTTTTGTTTAATATTTAAAAATTAAGAATTTTCACCTTTATGTTGGTGTGGAATAGTCCTGTGTTCAGCAGACAGAAATTGAAAGGTGAACTAAACATGTTCATAGCGGGCTCTGCATCTTTACCCATTCTTTAACATGCCCAGAAATAAAATGAATGCTCTGTATGTATTTTAATAGTGTATTTTCTTACTCTTTCCTCCCCCCATTTTCTCTCTCTCTTGCCTTGGATTCTCAATTTATCATCCTTAGATAAAACAAGAAATGGATGAAGAATTTACAGATTTTTGTGAGTCAGCCTTCACAAATATTCCAGTGAAAATTGAACTCCGAGAAGATTTGCCAGTGACATGTGAGGGTGAGCCAAGGTTTCCTTATGATTGTGTTGCTACTAGTGAAGAGAAAAAATCTGAACAAAGAGGGAGCTGTGATATAGTGAGTAGTAATAAAACTAATGTTGACAGTGTGCGTGTTGGTATCCGTTACGAACTCCAGCATGGCAAGTACAGAGGCAAGGACTGTGAAGGACCTCAGCAGAATGAAAGAAGTGTGAACGAAATGACTTATAATGTCAAAGTCCGACCAAAAACACGTCCTCACCAGTGTGATGTTTGTGGAAAAACATTAAGTTCTAAAGGTAACATGCGTCTACATAAAATAAAACGGCATGACTTGAAAACACCGTTTGTTTGTAAAATATGCCAAGCTACGTTTGATTATCGAAGAGATGTTGTTCATCACAGGAATGAGATACATAGACGAAAATCTGATGGGATGTTTGAATGTCAGAAATGTGGTAAAGTAGCTTATGAGTTTCATAATTTTATGACTCACATGAAGATTCACCTCAAGCCAGAAAATGCAAGTGATACAATGTCAGTTGAACGAAAGAAATTAAAAAAGAAATCGGAAAATTCACAGGCTTTTATTTGTGAATTATGTGGCAAGACTTTTAAAAGATCAGATTCGTTGAAAACTCACAGAATGTTTGTTCATCTAGCTGATGGTGGAGCTCTAGCTGCTAAGTTCAAAATGCAACTTCAGGAGAAAAATTATATTTGTGATGCCTGTGGACGCCGTTTTGCATTTCGCTGTTTATTGCGCGACCACCTTAACATACATTCTGGCATGAAACCATATCCATGTTCAGAATGTGGAAGGGCATTTGCTCAGAGGGCATCTCTGAAGCAACACATAAAGACACATGGAGATTATAAACCTTTTCCGTGCCCAGAGTGTAATCTCGCATTTTATGGACGAGGGGACCTGAAAAAGCACATGAGAAAGCACACAGGTGAACGTCCATTTGTGTGTGAAGTGTGCGGTGAAGCTTATGCCCAAAGTAGCCATTTGAATGTTCATAGACGATCTCACACTGGGGAAAGACCATTCAATTGTGACATATGTGGACGAGGATTTACAAAGAGTAGTGACGTTATAAGGCATAGAAGAATCCATACTGGTGAATTACCTTTCTTGTGTCAGGTGTGTGGAAAAGGATTCAGGCAGTCAGCTCAATGTGCAAATCACATTAAAAATCACCATCCTGAAATAGTGGACCCATGAACCCTTCTTCACAATAGCAAAAACTTTATTTGATGATGATGTATTAGTCGTCTATACATAGATGATTTTGTGTATGAGGAAATTGTTTGATTTTGTTGATTAACTAGATTGTTACAAAATACAAATGAATGACTGATTTTTTAACATTTCATTATCTCTGTAAATGAAAAGAAGAACTCCAGTCAATTTAGAGAGCTATGCCTACATCGATATACTTTGTGTAATTAAGAGTGTATGTAATTTTGAAAGTAACATGAAAGTAGTATAACTGATGCATAATTTAATAGTACTTTACTGTGCATGTTTTGTGCAGCTAAAGGAGCTTGGATCAGTGCACCATTCAAACAGAAATGACTGCTGTCTTGTTTCCCCAGAAAATATTCAGTGGGATGGTTACCCAATGTCACTGATCAGTGAACAAATTGACACACGAATGCCATTCTATTTTGCATCAGATATACTAATTGAGAAATTTGTAAATTGTCTGCCTGTTCTGTATGGATGTATATTATATATAATTTGAGAAATATGTGAATCAGATATCTGTGATTTTCATGTCCATTTTCATTAGTAGATGGCTCTGGGGTTCACGTAGCCTCCTATCCAGTAGCTAAATATCACAGCATATTTCCCTTGAGGGTGAGCAAGTGTGTGGAGCTGGGCACACCTCCATTTAGTGTTTAAGACTTAGAATGTGTATTTATATTCACACCCTTTCATTGCCTTCATGGCATGATGCTTAGGCAAAGGCATACTTTGTCTTCACATACAGTCTGCATCAAAATATACAGTTCTGAAATGAAAAGACGTCCTGTTGATACCACTGTCTATTCATGTGAAAGCCCCTTGCGCGACAGAACCTTCTCAAATCCTGAAGAAATGGTCCGATCACCATGTCCCTGTAGGGTTCTTGGGTGACGGTAAGAACATTGCCTTCCTCATCCTCAATAAAACAGGTGCCTAATATACTGTGTACTGAGACGTGTACTATGTAGCGGTTTCTGGACGATAACATCTGGCCGCTCAAAACCAAGGAAGTGAGTTGTCTGGCGACCACTTCCGTATGGGCGGAAATAATACTCAACTATGAATACATTTTCCTCCGTCGAGAGACCCATTTCTAACAACAACTGCACAACACAACTTCCTTTTCACTACTGGGAACACGTGCAGCTGGAGCTATGCCCCATTGACATATGCACATGTGTGTTCGAGATGCGCGAGTTTCAGTACTGTATATTTTGTCGCATACTGTATTTGCCACTTAAAGTGATTTTATCTTCCTATATGCATTCCTAGAATTAGGTTAATAATTTTCACATATAGGAATTGATCAGAAACTGTAGATACAAAACTTGTGAAGATTTTTAGTTTGTATTTTTGTAATACAGTGTTTGTTTGTCATTTCACAGTTGTGTATGAGGTTTGTGTGATTAATACTATAGTATTTATCATGCTTGTAACACTTGAACCATGCAGTGTTCAAATGGGACAACTTAATGAAATAGGAAGTTCTGGATTATAATGTGAATTGTTATGGAGCAAAAAAAAAAAAATGGAACTATTATGCACTTTTCATTCATTATGTGTATTTATTACAAATAGCATACCTGCAGTTGTCATTGGGAATGTGGTACAGAACTCAGCATAGTGATAACACTCCTAGACTTGTATTTGGAGGAGGCTGTTTGAATCTTAGCCAGGACAATGTGTAACGTGATGGAGGTTTTCATGGCTTTTCTCAGTCCCACCAGGCAAATGCTGGTATAGTAGCTTGGTTAGGACTTGACTACTTCCTTCCAAATCCTTTCCATTTCATCACTCATTGTACCATATGATCTAGCTACTGACCATGTCATAAAATAGGTCACAATAAAAAAGGATAACTTCTTAAGCATCTGTGGTTTGCATTATGGATTTCTCTGGGGGGGGTCCTCTTCTCACTAGAAGTAGCAGAGTGGATATACAGGGTGTCCCAGGAGGAATGGACCAAACTTCGGGAGGGTGTTCCTTATGTTAAAGTATACCGATATAACCCAAAACACCTATGTCCAAAGTTGAGCGGTTACGGAGATAATGGTCAGAGAAGTGTCAAACTTTGACCGGTGTTACACACTTGTTGATTTCAAAATACATATTAAAACTGGCAGGAATATGTGGATTCTGTAATGTTAATAATGTACGTAACATCAAACTACAGTAGAACTTGGTTATAACGTCATCAAAGGGACCTAAAAATAGTGTCGTAACCGAAATGGGCACTTCCACAGTAGCCTTATGTTAGTCACGTAAAAATCTACCAAAAACCGAGTTAAAATGTTGCATTTTTTAGTGAAATACATAGTTAAGTACAGACTAATCTAACATTAACGTGGAATTGCCCAAATGTGTAATATCAAAGACATATTACAGCGCTCTTTACTGACAATACACACCGCACTAATACTGTACTGTATATTAAAGGTAGGCCTACTCACCAAATTACAGTAGATTACATCAATTGTTGTGCCTTACTGTACCTAGATACGAGTACAGTAATCAGTTATCTTCATCTGTTTCCTGTTACTTGCCCAATACACACTTTCTAAATTACGTTAACAACCTGCCGCGTCCTCTTGCACTATTCACGCAGTCCCACCCCACAACCTTGTTTTCGCATAAATCCCACGCTCCTCTTGCAGCCCGCGGTCGTATTCTTCCAGGACAGTCACGTCAGCAAGTAGAGAAAGTGAGGGTGGGCAGACACATCGAACTTTCCCACGATATCAGAGAAATTCAGGAATGAAAATGACGTTACATACGAGGTTGATGCATTTGTGCATGTCATACTAAGCAAGGTATAAAAACAGTTGCTTTATGAGGAATTAGTTCGTACCATTGAATATTTGACGCAATAGACAAGGTGTCGCAGAAACCGATGTTGCTATAACCAAGTTTTACTGTAACTTGTGAGTGACATGAAGCCATAAAATTGAAGTACAAAATACTCGCTCGCCATGTCATAATTGTCCTTAGGGTTTCCAAGCACTATACATGACACATGACTGGCAAGCGGTGGTGTAACATGACTGACTGCGCATTCTGCTATAAGCCAACTACATAAGTACTAAAATACAGTACCTGCTTTATAGTAATTGTTCAAAGTGTCCTCCGCCAGCTGCAATGCAGTTTTCGGCACGCATCATGAGGGATTGGGTAGCAGAAGCAATGTTGCCTGAATGGTGACGTACGTGCTCTGCCGCTGCAAAAATATGATTCCGCAGTGTTTCTCATTTGTACATCCTCCCTTTCCGACTGCACAGAAACACTCGGAAGAGAACCAGTCTCACGCAATGTCTGGTGAATTCACGTAAATACACGTCGAGATGGAATCATTCGATCGGGAAAACGCCTTTGATACTCTTCAACAGCAGCACGTACATTGCCACCGCAAAATTCATACACAAAATGCATATCACAATATTCAACGTGTGAAAACAAAAGGCATTTCAGCAACACCGCACAGCTACACGTAATTTACTAACCATTCACGACGCTGCCGCAACATACACTGTAGCCTCTGTAGGTAGTGCATGAGCTTATGGCTAGTGTGACTCACAGCACTCAAGGACAAACAGATAAGAGTCTCAGCTGACAGGTGTAGTGTGTGGACCCGTCAGAAGACCACACTTTTCTTGGGCCATTATCTCCGTAACCATTCAACTTTGGACATAGGTGTTTTGGGTTATATCGGCATACTTTAACATAAGGAACATCCTCCTGAAGTTAGGTCCATTCCTCCTGGGACACCCTGTATATGGCGTTGGGTTGCAGTTAAGTTCTTTTGCATGGTTTGGAGGCCTCTTAATAAAAACAAAGTACAATTTGAATAATAAATTTTTGCTGGTAAGTTAAATATACATGGGGGCACACAGTAGCATATTTGGTTGAGGCACTATACTACAAGCCAGAAGGTCGCAGGATTTAATGATGAAAGGAAACTGCTCTTGATTATCAATTGTAATTACACTTGTTGCTTAGTACAAATTCTGTTGATGGCTTCGCAACAGACTTATGAAAGTATGTGTGTGTAAATGGACTAAAGTTTTAAGAATAATTCACATTTAACCAAACTCTCATAAATAACTTATAGTGAAATTGTTAACTGATGTTGTACATTTATTGTTCCTCATATTTGAGGTTCACGTTTCATAATTCCAGATCGATCTTGTCAGCTTTGCATTTCCTCACATGGAGGACCCAAGTTAGATACCCTCAGAAAAGTGTGTAATTAGATTGTACTGTATTATAATTCTCTGAGAAAAAAGGTTTGCATGAATACTGTTTTATGATGACCACCAGTAGCAAAATTTTGAAATAATGGTTATGGACTCTGATAAGTATGTGTGTACTCTTGAAATGAATTATGTATTGTTATTTTCTCTCCACAGCTTTTACACCTACAGTTATATTGTTTCTTTTTGAGAGGCATGGAAATACTTGTATAAGCAAAAAGTTTGCTAAGTTTGTGTGATGCTACTGGTACAAATGGCAAGGCATGGAGGGACGGACTGAGGTAGACTGTGATATACTTCATGTGAGTTAGATGTTGAGAAGTTACACAAAGCTTGTGAAGGCTTACCACAGGAAACGTCTCAAAGAATATAGAGGATAATGTGTTGGGAGCTTGATCATTAATAACAGATTTCAAAATATTGAGGGATAGCTGTATATTTTAGTCTATTTTATTATTTTTATTATGCTGCTGATGATGATGATTTAATTTGACTCCTTATTTTTACATGCTAGCTTAACACTACTGAAGGCAATTGCAGGGTCAACACAATCAAATAAATGTAAAATACACATGCAGGACAGATGCATGAATATATGATACGACAATGATAGCAGTTAGTGTATTAAGGTGCCTGCCAAATATCAAGGCCTAAAACATGTAAGCACTAAAGTACACAACAACAAAGAAATAATGAAAGTATAATAGTAGCTAAATATGATTATACACAAGAAGGTTTTTCTTGAAGGAGAGTGTATTTCTACAAACATTACAAACTGACAAATATACTGGTACACCTTGCTGGGAGACTAGATGTTATGTTATTGCTTGCATTAATAATTGAAAATTTCTGGCTAATTAAGTGGGTAGGTCCATGTATGAAGACCAATGCTGTCCATGATATGGTGAGTTTGTTTTGTTCTTAAAACAAAAGGAAATGAGCACTGTGCTTATTGTCATTTGAAACAAAGTGATACAAGTCATAATAAAAAAAAGACTGCCCTGATATAATTGACTGTAACTCAGATATGTATTTTTTGTGTATGTACATTCATGTTTGAGTTGCCCAATTAATAATTTGGAGACTGGAAAAGCTAAGTAAGATAAGATTAGAAAAATGGTATCAGTGTATGGACAGCATCGCCATGAAGCGGACATGGACATGAGCTGAATGTAATTAGGAAAGGATGAAGAAGGGGGGGGGGACATGCAAGTAGAAGCATACAAGCAGAAATATTCAGTATAGCAACATACTTAAAGAAAATATCTGAAGAGGTCTCATTAGAAAAAGATTATGATAGTGGCCAAACATGAACAGATCCATAAATAAAGTATAAGAAGTCAGAAGACACCTGGTCATACAGAAAGAAACTTGAAACGCTTGAAGATGGAGGGGAACAAAGCATTAGGCTAGTGACATGAAAAGAAGTGAAAAGTAAATGGAAGAATAAGATAATGCATGGTCACTATGTTCAAAATCTGGATACCCAAGTTATCAGGAGAACTTGAAGGAGGAACTGAAAGTGAGATAATTGCTGCAAAAGATGAAGTGTGGGTCACTAAATCTTATGCTACAAGGGTACTGAAAACTACAGATGACAGGTAATATATAATGTGCCCATAATCTGATGAAACAGTAGTGCTAGCTAAGGAAAAATATGTAAAATGTCGCATGGGGTTTGCATACAGTTCTGTTGCAGTATCTGTGAACAAGTAGAGAAACTGGAAAGGAACAAACGGTGCAAACATGTACCAATACTAGTCAGAGTAATCAAATTACTGTACTCTGGAACCAAGAAATTGTGACAAAACTATGCATGTAACAAACTGACATACTTCAAAATAGAAAAGGAATGTTTTGCTGATGTATCTGTACCATATGATAAAATGTACTGAAGAAGATAGCTGAAGTCTGGAATATATATATATATATATATATATAGATATATACTGACCGAAGAGCAGTGCACATGAAATGTGAAAGTGAAGGTTAAACCGGTAATTGTAGATGCAGCTGGAAGCCTTTCGAGATCATTTCAGAAATATTTAGAAGACACTTCAGTGCAAAATTTCAAATTTCTCCCCCCTGGAATGTGAAACCATGTAGCATAGCATCACATCCCAAGAGGCTCTAATCTTCATAGTTCCACTTGCAAGAATCTCACATTTCACACTTGTTTCCATTTATTTTTAAGCCGATAGCATATATTTAAAAAGTACTCTGCAATATATTATGTATTTCCTCTGTCTTTATACACATTCCCTATATTATATATTTCTGCAGTTTATTCCCCAAGTGAATGCCAGATCTAGTATCAAGAAAGTAGCAACGCAGTATGCATCCTACTTGGGTGACAGCTAGATAGACCGACTGTTTGTTAATCATTACTTGAATGGGAGAAAGGTAAGTGGAACCTTTGTGATAGATGATAAGGAACCATGGGGAGGTACTATCACAATTACCAATCTTGCATTGAGGACTGCGATCACATGTCAAGGGGGAATAACCAAGATGTTTACCTACTGTGAGGCATAACTGATCCAGGGGAGAAGCTGGGTTGAAGTAATTAACTATGGGGTACACACCACATAATGGACAAGGGACCAAATTACGTTTAGATCGCGATAATTAACCTAGACAACGAAAAGGGAAAGAACTAGTGCTAAAATAATGAACCATCGTGGTATGGTAACGATATGAGTTGTATGACGCATCGCGGGTAGCATATGGTATTATCGGGACAATTCGGGACATTCCATGGGGCAGTTTGAAGTCGGGTAAAGTAATTTTCTATTCGCTTTTCAGCATGACACCTGTTGATAATATATGCGATGTATGTGACATTAATTGTTAATTACAACATAACTGGTAGTATTGTAATTACAAAATATTTTTAATTCATCTAGAGCAAGGAATGGTACACTCAACAAAATTACCCACATTTCCCGGTTTGGTATCCTGAGTATTCCGTGCGATTCCGTGCCCCGTCCTATCGATGTTCAGCTCGTTAAACTTCAAGATGGCGTCATAACTTAGAGCTTGTTTACGTTGCAATGTACATTCGCTTTCAGTTACGCCCATTTTCATGCTGAATGTTTATTGTATTTGTATTATTTAGAAATAGATTATCTTATTTCCATTTTTGTTAATTTTTATTAATGGGTAATTTGCAATGTCTAAAATAAGTGAGAAAGAATTTGATATGCAATGTCGATTGTGCACATCAACGGAAGAAGGTCACATACCAATTTTTGGTCCTGAGGGCGAATGCCGAAATTTGGCCGGTAAAATTAAAGAATGTCTTCCAGTCTCAGTAAGTACCCCCAGAAACTTAGTTTATGTTTTCGGGTACGTTTTATTTTGCTGTACATTTTGAGTCTAATGTATTGCATTCTCAAAATCGGGGGCTGTTGAGCAGTGTGTATAGGCCTGATGGGTCGTCACGACCCCAATACAGATTTTGTTGGAGTTGGTCAAGCTGATGCTCTGAAATTTATAAAAATGATTAAGTTCCATTCAGTATGAAGATTCGAGTTAGGTATTTCTGGTGGAGACTGCATGGAAGTGTAATACAGTATTGTAAATGTGTTCTAGTTTTTTGTAAAATGAAGTTACAGTATTGGGAATGTGTCAAAAGGCTAACTGTGAAAGTTATCTATATTATTGAAGAAATTATCATGTTGGTCTGAATTTTTAAAAGTTCAGTTTTTATACAAGTAGACCATAATTACCAGGTTTTAAAATGAAAGCAGTGATAATATATTGGTTAAAGTGTAGATTAGGCTATTGATTCCCACTACGTCTCAAGATGTATAGCTGTAAATATGATAAATGTGATAAAATAAACAATGTGAAACTAATTGACAGAATGAAACAGTGGCAGTATAACCTACTACAAAGGCCAAAGTTTATAATTAATTGCATATGAACTTGAAGAAATTTTTGTACTTTGCATTTGAAGAAGCTGCTTCTCCAGGATCCATCATGATATTTAACTCTTCTTGATATTCCAAATATCTGTGTATCTTTTTGTAGGTCTTGCAGATAATTGTGAAAGTAGAAACAGTAAATGAAGCAGTGTAATTGATAAAGTTCAGTAGTAAGCAGCTAAGAACACTCATGAATGGCAGAGACATAGGATCATGATTTCAGATATAACGAGATATTTTAAGGAATCATGTGGATTTCTAGTCCTGTCGGATTTCATGATGTGAGATAACGAGGGTATGATGCATGTAAAAATAAATTAAGTATTCATTGCCAGATCAGCACATTTTGCAAATGTTTGTGGCAGATGAATTCTCTTATTTGAATGAAACTTTGGTATAACTAGAGGTTGGTGTGACACAAAAGTACAAAGTATTTTGTCTTATAAGTCATTGGTTCTGAAGTCAGTGAATGCCAGAGTTGTGTAATACTGGCTGTTTTTACATCAGTCTTGGAAACATCAAATAATAGAAGACATTGTGTTAAAGAAAACCAATGAAGATACCAGGATGAAATTGAAATTGTATGGAATCCACGTAAGAAGCATCCAAGTAACTTAACAAAAGCGTGGTAGAACTTCAGTTTTTCAGAGCATAAAAAATACATTTTCACGGGCTACAGGCTGTATGACAGAGGGGTTGGAGTTCAAGTCCTGGTAGGGTCAAGAATTTTCTCTACTCCACAGCATCCAGACTGGTTCTGGGGTGCACCCAGCCTCCTATCCAATAGATTCCTGGGGCTCTTTTGTAGGGGATAAAGCGGCCAGGGTTGAAGCTGGCCACTCACATCCAACTAGTGCCAAGGTCAAGAAAAAATGGATCTATGTATCCACTCCGCCATGTAACTTCATGGCATAATCCTTAATTAGTTAAACACAGGGACAACTTTATTGTTTATCTTCACAAATTTTGCCTTGAAATGTTGGATTTGAGGTTCCCACAGTGTCGACTATGAAAAGTTTAGTGTCCTAGGTTGTAATATTGTAATGCAGAGAGCCTAAAGTTTGGAGGAATATCTTGCGCAACTTCAGGGTTGTAATTAAAGGTATTTTTCTGAACATACTGACACTAGCACTGAGTGAAGAATGACCCACATCCCACAAGTGTAAGCATTTTGTATGTTCAAAATGTGTGGGTAATTGGGTTCAGTTTATTGTGATTATGCTTAGGTCTTAGCAGCCTATAATCAGGCCAAATTAAAGTGGAATAAAAAGTTTAGTTTCCACCATGCGTATGTTTATTTGATGTGGAACGACTAACTGTATGAGCTTAGCATCATATCTGAGGCCTTTTTATCATTTTTAAGTACTGTGGTTTACATACAACTGAAGTTGGGGTTAGCTCCTATGAAGGTTCCATATGATTAACTTTGTATAAGAGATGAACAGTTTTACTTTCTCATATACATAGTATATATCAGTAAGTATTGTAATTGTGAAAAAAAAATGGTCTTAATGTTTTGTTGAATTTTCTAATTTTCACCCCTCCCGCAGATTGCGAATGTGTTTTTTGGTATGCTGTTTATTTGTCTGTATGTACACCTGGTTGCATGCTTCACCTGCACCTGAACAGTTAGATGGATTTTATATAATATTCACTGCTCAGGAATATCCGTCATAAGGTCAATGTCCAGTGAATCTGAACATTCCAGTTTCTAAAACATAGGCCTTCCAAACAGCCCCCCAAAATACAAAGTGACAATTTTATAAAAACAGCTGAAACAGTTTTGATTAAATTTCAGTAATTTATGAAGGGGATTGCTCTGAATGAAACTGCATATATGGTATCTTGAGCAAAATAATAGTAAGTGCACTAGGGGTCAAAATGTGAAATGTCGTTTTCTTTAAACCAGCTTCAATAATCAGACAGATTTCATTGCTGGTCATTGCACCACCAGGGGCCTACCAGGCAGCAATCAATTTAATTTCCAAGATAACATATTTTGAGGCCAGTTTTAAGTAAGCAATTCTTTGTGCCAATTTTTTAAGAATATGTAACATTTTATTTTGCTATCCTCTTGTGTTTTATATGCATAAATCTTGTAATACCATTAACAGCTAAGCTCCTCGGTCGTGAAGCTGACTATTTACCTCCAACTAGTGCCGAGATCAAGAATACGTGGATCTGTACGACCACACCCCCATATGTCTCATTTAGTTATTAATTTTTTTTTTTTTACCTTTATTAGTTAAGCACAGACAACTTTACTTGTCCCCCATATTAATAGTGTTTATTATTACCCACCACTTGTTTTTGCCCTATTTCAGGGTCATCATTGGGTGTATTAAACATGAATTAACTGAATTGGATGCTTTGTGCTTGATTTTCAGTTATAATCTTCAGGTGTCTTAATCTGTTAAAACGGCTACACTGCATTAATATGTGCTAAAATCACATGCTGTAGTCCACTTAATATAATAAAATAAAATCCATTAAAATTTTCTATAACATTTTTAATTACTTATATAAAATTCTGTTCCACCTCACAAAGGGTGTCATCCACTTCTTTAGAATTGTATGTTTATCTGCAGGTCTTTTATTTCAGTATCATGTTTTTTATGTTCGTTAGCCTGTTGTTCTGTTATGTCTGCAATCTGTAATACACCCCTTGCTTGTGGGTTGTTCCATCTAGCAGTGTGTGGTGTTGTCGTCACTTTCTGGCTGTGCCCCTGGTACTGGCTCTCTCAGATACATTAGTCATGCCTTTAATTTTGTAGTACATAGCATTTTCATTTTCATATTAGCTAAAAATAGTTGTTCATACTAACACCAAAGTTCGTGGTTATACATTTGTCATGCTGTATTTTGCAATTTCTGCTAACAGAATGTTGAATCATTCCAGAAGATGTAAGATCTGAGGCTTTCACGGCGGTGACTATGAAGAAGGCAGTCTTCTGGGATTTGGCACCGTGTATATGTGGTGTTAACCGACGTTTCGGAGGAACGTATCGCCTCCATCTTCAGGGTAGAAGAAAAAATATAAGAAAGCAGTCTCTGCTTTTACCGGTTCTCATGGTCTCTTAGCTTGCAGATTTCTTATATTTTTTCTTCTACCCTGAAGATGGAGGCGATACGTTCCTCCGAAACGTCGGTTAACACCACATATACACGGTGCCAAATCCCAGAAGACTGCCTTCTTCATTCCAGAAGATGCCACAGTGCAGTGAACAGTTAAAGTTTGTTTTTGAGACTCAACTTCAGTATTCAATCCTAAGGTCTAAAACTTGAAGTCCAGTCTTTATGTACTGTTCATAAAATTCACTATTAATATAAGATTTGTTTTCTCTTTAACCCATTCTTTTACAGCACTCTCTTAATGTTAATGTATAATATCATTACATGTTCTCACTAATTTTCCACCATGTCCTACAACCTGCTTAGGTTTGTTAATGTTCTTTGTCCTTGTCTAGTCTGTTGACTTGTGGAAATAGTGTTATGGGCCTTTGTTGCTCATAAAAGTAAAAAACAAAGCTATCCCTGTAACAGGCAGTTGAAGGCCCATAGGGTTGTGAGACATTGAGGCTCCCACATTATCTAGACAATTGGCTCAAAGATGGTGGTAAGGTTGTCAGCCTTACACGCCAGCCGCGCTTTACTCCCCAGGAAAATTATTTAATTAATTCCTGGTACTCATTTATGTTAGAGGCTGAGTCGACCCCAGGGCCAAAGTGCGGCTGGAAGGATTAGATCAATTGAAAAACTCCCGTAACTATATTGGGACTTGAACCCGTGACCTTCTGGATTGTAGCATAGTGCCTCAACCAACTGTGCTACCTTGTGCTCGCCCTTTGTTGCTCATAGCTTTGTTAATTGTAATTCTTTTTATTCTGTTATGCAGTTAGAGAGGGAAGATGCCTTGCCAAAAAGTGTGTGCAAAACCTGTGCACACAAGCTGGATGATTATTACAGCTTCCGAGAAGCTTGTGTCCGAGCAGAAGTAGCCTTAGAGTCCAGCCTCAAGGAACAACAACCTTCAGCATTCCCATTAGAACCAGAGGTACATGAGATTGTTATAAAGTTTACTTTCCTTTAGGATGTGACACCTTGTACTTCACTAGATAGGTGCAAGTGTATCAGGGGAACCTGCTGGCTCCAGAGGAGCCTGTGAAACAGCGGTATTCAGTAGTAAACTGTGTCATATCCCAAAAGGCAAAAATCTTAATATTCACTGCTCTTAGAACCTCAGATCTTGTATTATATATAGTTTGTGAGTTACACATTTCTGTTATTTACTTACTTACTCATGGAGCTGAGCCGCCAATTCTGCAGCTACTCAAGTATTTCCCAGCATTTTATGGAACCCGAAGGTTCATTACTGTGTTCACAAGAGCCCTCCACTGGTCCCTATCCTGAGCCAGATCTGTCCGATCCATACCATCCCATCCTATCTCTCTTAAGATCCATTCTAATATTGTCCACCCACCTACACCTTGGTCTTCCCTGTGGTCTCTTTCCTTCTGGCTTTCCCACCAATATCCTATATGCATTACACATTTCTGTTATTGATTTTAATTTGGTATTATATCAGATTTTTGAATACTAAATGGCAACTATATTTTAGGAGAACCTACTTTAAGGAAAAATTATTACAAGAATTGCTGAAGTTTTTGACATTCAAGTGAGTTGGTGTCTTATATTGAGAACCAAACTATCATTGGATATAAATCTTATAGCATTCATAATCAGGTTCTAGTTGCAAATTCTTATATTGTCTAATATTATCTTATATCTTCCTGCTGTAGTATTTTAACATTGTTAATGTCCTTTTGTGTTCTTAGTTTGTCAAAACTTCAATTTTGTCACCTAATGAAGTCAGCAGTGCACTTTTAAAGGGTTGTAATTAAAATGTTCTCCAGTATAAATATTGTTTCCTGTCGAAATCTCTGGGGATGAGTCATTCCATGCCAAATCAGTCCACTTTTCAGCCCACCAGTCTCAGATTTCAGTGAAATTTGGTGAGTTTGTAGACTCCTTAAAAAATCGTATTCATGCAAAATTTTGGCACCCTGTCTTGTCGTATTTGTGGCGTAAGAGAGCAAAAATCATAACAGTATTTTTTGGCATGCTAAAAACTATCATACCTCTTGGTAGATTCTGAAGGGTTTTGACAATGGTGTATAACACTCAGAATTACTGGGTTTTTGGACTTTCTCCATTGTCCGGTATTCTAGAAACTAGAAAACACATTTCAGAAACTGGATCTTTTTCCGTCCTTATTCGATGGGAGGAACACACCTACTCAGTTGGGTCCATCCCATTAGAACCAGAGGTACATGAGATTGTTATAAAGATTACTTTCCTTTAGGCTGTGACGCATTGTACTTCACTAGATAGGTGCAAGTGTATCAGGGGAACCTGCTGGCTCCAGAGGAGTAATTCGAGTGTGGAAAAATGGTTCCTGTGAAACAGCGGTACTCAGTAGTAAACTGTGTCATATCCCAAAAGACAGCAGTCTTAATATTCACTGCTCCTAGAACCTCAAATCGTACAGTGTATTATATATAGTTTGTGAGTTACACGTTTCTGTCATTACTGGTCCAGTGATTGAGGTTAGCTCTTTCTAAAGGACCCAACTGAGTAGGTGTCTTCCTCCCCTCACCTGAGGACAGAAACAGATCCAGTTTCCAAAACATGATATCTAGTTTCTAGAATACCGGACAATGGGCAGAGTCTAAAAACCCAGTATTTCTGAGTATCATAAGTTTTGTTTTGTACAAGCTACAGAGCACATATGGAACGACCAGAAAGCTAATGAAATCCTGTTTTCACAAATATATAACTCACATTTAGATAGAGCATTTTTTTTTTTTTCCAGAAAAAATAAAATGATGTGTCAAATTGAAGGTTCAGGTTTGCCTCAGGTGACATTGAAATAAAAACTGGTCTCTTGGAATGTGAGTTATAAATTTGTGAAAATAGAATTTTATTAGCCTTGTGCCTATGAGCTCTGTAGTTTGTACAGAAGAAAAGTTAAGAGAATTTTTATTATGGGCAGCACCCCCAAAAATGCAGTTCTTTTATGATATTTGCATTCCTGCTATACATAAACTGCAGGACGTATGGTGCTGGAATTTTGCAAGAGTACTTTGACCTGACACCTAAAATCTGGAAGCTTGGGAGTTGTAGTAGTGTCACGTATGTGTCCATTGCTGTGCAGTGGCTTGTTAAAGTAAGTTAAAGTAAGTTAAATTAAAATTTAGAGAACATTTTAAAAGGTTTTAAAAACATCATAACTAAAGATTTTTAAAGTGCTACTACAAGAATATCAAATTTGACGTGTGCAACATAATCTACATACCAGACACATATCAACGATGTAGATGTTGATAATACGAAGAATGTGACATTGTGTTTTTAAATGTTAAATTTTAGACTGGGTTCAGTGTGGCAGCAACGTTAAGAGTATACACCTGATGATGGCCGATAGAAGCCGAAACATGTAGTGTAGAAAGAACAAGATCAAAGACATATAATGTATATTGTTTGCACTTGGGACAGAATTTGTGTCATTTATATTGTTAAAGTAAGTTTCTCTAGCAATGAATACTCACACAAGAGTACAGGAACTTTACCTGCAGTGTTTTCTAATCACATTGCTTCAAAGCTATATAAATACAGCCAATGTGACCTGAATGAGGGAGCTACTGAGCATAGGAAATATCAGACATAGTCCTGATTATTGGAGGCCATTACCAGGCAATAATAACGTGAAGATATCAGACTGGAAAGACTTTGAATGGTGTATAGTTATTTGTAGATTGTTAAGAGTAATAAACATGTTGTAGATATCAGTAGTTAAAAATAATTTGTATCCAGTAAGTTCATTTATCAGTCTAAACCATGTCTGCTCAGAAGCCTATTACAACACTGTTTTCTGTAGAGTCTACAAGCTCACCAGCCTTTTGCTGAAATGTGAGATCAGGTTGTCATCTGTAATGATTTGGCATGGATCGTTACAGAGGGCTTTTCAAAAAACTGCTATACAGGAAGTTTTATAAATTCTAAAGGGTTCTGACAATAGTAGATGACACACAGAATTACTGGGTTATTGCACTTTTTCCATCATCTGGAATTCTAGGTAATAGAGATTGAGATTAGCTCTTTCAAAGGGGCCCAACTGAGTAGGTGTCTTCCTTTCTCACCTGAAGATGGAAACACGGCCAGTTTCCTAAACGTCGTGTGCCTGTGAAGTTAATGCCAATATTCTAGATGTATCATATAAACTCCATTGTAAATGTAACACTTTATTGTAGTTCTTGTACCCCTTCTTTTACACTACATGTTTTGGCCGCAACAGGCCATCATCAGGTGTATTTCACTTCACGTAGCTGTCACACTGCACTCAATATTAACATTTAAACTCCACATTTACAATTGTTCATTGCTCTGTCGTCAATCAGCACCCGATATTCCAGAACTCCCCTTGTCGATTTTATCAATTATGTTTAAAATCTTTATTAATATTCACACGTCAATTTGTTTAAAATTTTAAATTCTCATTTTAGCTATAATATTTAAAATTTAAATTTAGATTTAAAATCAAAATCACAGAGATACCTCTCTATGCTTATATGTGCTGCAGCGGCTACCTCTTGCTTTCAGCACACCTCGCGCGTTATTTTGTGCAGGTTCTCTGTGTGCGTGGCACTGCTTTTCTTTAATACATTTGCAAATGAGCAATTGTAAATCTGTAGTTTAAATGTTAATATTGAGTGCAGTGTGACAGCTACGTGAAGTGAAATACACCTGATGATGGCCAGTTGCAGCCGAAACATGTAGTGTAAATGCAATTGATGAAGATCGTCGAAAGACCATTGACCAACTTTCTGAGGAAACGAACATCTCATGGAGCACGGTCCAGCGAATTTTAACCGAAGGTTTGCACATGAGACGGGTGTCTGCAAAATTTGTTCCTCGCTTGCTCGGAGATGACCAAAGAGAAAACTGCGTGAATGTTTGCCGCGACTTGAAGAGTGAAGTGCACTTTTCCCTAACAGAAAGCAAAATTTCACGCACACTCTTTGTTCCTTCTTGTCGGCCATCTCACTAATCGCCAAAGGGTTGAAACAGGAACGCACACAACAGAGCACCACAGACAAACCACTTAACTCAGACTGACGCCAGCTTACTAACAGTTGCGGGAGACCCCCAGGTAACACCACCTAGCAGCACAACTCGTAACTACAAAGCATGCGCGCACAACAGGTCGTTTCCGGTTATTTTTGGGTCCCCCTTTGTACATCTATATGAATTTTAAGGTCCAAAGATGTACGGGCTTCCGTGAAAGATAAATGTTGTACATGACCGTCCATAATCAGAATGAATGAGTGTTGGGTGTGAGAGTTAAGTTTCAAGATGGGCTTTATTTGTGCAAAAAAAGTTTCTAGTGGAAAATGTTGGTACATTTTATTAGAAGATCTGAACATGTGGAGGATCTGTGTCAGGTTTGTTACTCATCTGTTAATGAATGAACAAAACAGGTTCTATCCAGGTACAAAATAACAATCATATCAATTTAAATCTTGGCAATTGGAACGCCGTTGCTACGGTAACACCGAACATGCTTCAAGTAACATGTAACAAAATCGAATATCGTCTGGATATCTGTCATGCCAGCAAGGGCACCCACGTTGATATTTATTGAGATGGTGATACACTCAGAAAAAACTTTAATAGTTTCCCTTTACAATGGCATAACCCATAAATATGTATAATAAATGCTTTCTGAGATATAATTATTTTATTTTGGATACCTTTCATCTGGACACCCTTTACAGTACAACAGTTTAGCTAGACCAGCACTGTGTCTTATATGCTACTGCAGGTTTCCAGCCATGCCCGCAAGTAGGACTACAATGTGGATTGAGGGTTTTTGAGAATGAAGGGCTGAGTAGAAAGGTTGGGCCTAAGAGAGATGAAATAAAAGGAGAAATTTGCTGTCTTCTGAGATATAGAGTCATGTGGTCTGTATATGAGCAGACATTTCAGAGGAATGTATCACCTTCATCTTCGGAGTTGAAAATCAGCCGAGCAAGAAACCAGTGAGAGCAGGTGGTTACTTGCTCAGCTGATATACAGGGTGTTTCACGAATTTAGGGCATAACTGCAGGAGATGATTTCCTAGGTCTTTGTGATCAAAAAAGTTCATATAAACATGTGTCCGATTTTGGACGGTTACGGAGTTATGACCGTTTTTTCATTCCCGTACACACCCTCATGTGAACTGCGTCTATCACCTGACCGGTCACTATTTTTAGCCAGCTACAGACAGAGCGTTCTTGTTATATCGACACCTGAGAGGTACCTAAGACATGGTGGGTTGGTATGTACCCGTGCGGTTCACAACCGAGCGGTAGCCTGTGTTGCAGCCGGTGGTGGCATTTTCGAAAATCAGCTTTAAGCACCAATAAATTTAAATTAAAGGTAATTTCACGAAGTTAACTTTACATTCATACTTTAAATGTATCATGTATTATGCTGGTTTATTATTTTGTTCCGTTTATTGTCAGTAATTGTTACCTTCTATTCTGAGTTTAAAACGGTCATAACTCTGTAATCATCCAAAATCGGACACATGTTTATATGAACTTTTTTGATCACAAAGACCTAGGAAATCACCTCCTGCAGTTATGTCCTAAAGTCGTGAAACACCCTGTATAATCATACAGACTACCTACCTACCTCTTGGCGCTGCAGCCCTGGCTGAGCCTTGGCCTCCTCTACAACCAGTCTTCACTGCTCTCTATTCCACATCTTCCCTATCCATTTTTTCACCTTCATCGTCTTCAGGTCGTTCTCAACGTCATCTAGCCATCTCCCAGGTTGTCATCACAATATCATTGTTCCTTGTCTTGCTTAGTTTTCCCATATGTTCCACTTATCTGAGGCTGGTTGTTAGGTTTCTGAACAAAATTCTTTTTACAGGATGAGGTTAGCATCATACCCAACCCTCCAACCTGGAGGACCAGGGTGTCTCCTTAGTCTGGACTCTACCCTTTGACCTTTCCAGCATGGGTGACGCTACCAGTAGTTAAACTACCGCCAGCATAGCTCTCCAGGTCACAGTCACACAAGTTCCACCACAACAACAAGGTGGAAACACATTTGGGGGGTCATATACGGACTACACGGTGCTATATCCCAGAAAATGGCAGATTTCATAACTTCCACTGTGAGAACCTCAAGTCCTACAAATAATAGGGAGGTCTGGGAAAATTAGGTACATCGGAGTCCTGATTTTTCGTCATTTAATGTTTAGTTTCAGTGATCTCATATCAATAACATCATTAAATTTGCTTCATTTAAGACTTTCCTCAGTATAATGAGAAGCTCATAGGGTGTACCTTGCACTAAATGTCGTTAGAATGATCAGATCAGGGAGGATGGAAAGGACAGGACAGGATGTGTAATGCACTTGAAGGACATTAGAAAAACATACGAGTACCGCTTTATGGTCCGAAAGCTGAATTACAGAGATAATTTGGGGAATGTAAGTATGGATGGGAGAATAATATTAAATTGAATCATAAGGAAAGATAATGTGAGAGTGTGCCCTGAATTTAATTGGTCCTGTATCAGGGAGTAGTGGGAGGCTCGTATGAATGCAGCAATGAACCTTTGGTTTCATAAAAATGTGGGGAATTTCTTTATGAGCGTGAGTGACTGTAACCTCACAAGAGCTGTGCTCTCTGAAGTTAAATTATGTTACAATTATATCTCTACACTGACTAATGACATGCCAACTGGGTGTCAACCATTACTGTCTTTTTTAGGGGGAAGGCTAATGCTGTTGATAATATGAGTATGAAAACTGAAAATTTTTGGAACTCTGAGAAAAATAACTGTTGCCATTGTTGTTACTATATATCATGTGTGAAATAAGTGTATGACTTTCGCTGTTTTTAGAGAGTGGATAGTGTGTAAGTTCGGGAGAATGTTGAACAAATAATTTTTATAAAACTTCTTAATGACTGACCCAAGTAACTTCAAAATTTTACCAGCATGTTGTTGCCATGTTAGAATTCTAACCTAGAAGTTTATTTGTATAAATAAGGCCTACTCAGAATTTGCCTCCACCAGCAAATATACGAAGTTGGGTTGAAGGTTTTTTTTTTATAAAAGTAAATATCTAAAAACCTAAGAATAGGCTTTGGCTTCTGTTTTTAGAAAAACAGATTCTGCAGTTTATGGCACCAGTGTGACAGCATGGAGATAAAGTTATCAAGTTACATGGTTCACCTATTAGTATGTGAGTATTTAAAAGTTCTCAAGTAATATGTAACAATAGTAGACTGATAGTTTTGTGCTGTTTATTTGTAGTGCTGCCTGCAAGAAGTGGAGCCTGGGAACAGCTCTGTTAGACCATCCAGTCAGTCCAATTCTGGCAGAGTTCCTGTTAATTCCAGGACATTGGACAGTGTTTACAGTGCACCGCATTTACAGATGAGTGGTGGTGGCCTTGATATCTTTCCTAGACCAAATTCACCCACAATGAAAAAGTTGATGCAGCGTCAAGGTGAGTGGTTGGTTCAGGTCATTGTGTACAGAATGTTGAGTATATGCAGTATAATGTTACATTAAGAAGATTCTGGAATGAAATCATTGCTTGTAGATTCTGAATTTTGGCAGAGGCTTTTCATGGATTTCTTTAGACCTTGCAGTAGAAGCTGGTATAGCAGCATAAAGGAGGCCATGGCTGCATCCTCCTATCTTTCCAGTACATAATTTTCATCATACTACTGTCTGGTGCTATGTAATCTGTGCAGCTGTAAGAATATTGTGAATTTAAAAATTAAGTATGTACTGATATATAAATTTTTAGGAGGCACCTGGTAGCATAATTGGTTGAGGCACTATGCTGAAAGCTGGAAGGTTGCAGGATCAAATCCTGATGAGGTCATTGGATTTTATCAATTTACCTAATCCTTCCAGCTGCACTATGGCCCTGGAGTTGACTCAGCTTCTTAACAGAAATGAGTAACAAGAATCTTCTTGGAATGTTCTTGGGGATAAAGGGCAGCCAGCGTGTAAGGCTGACAACCTTACCGCCATCTATGAGCCGATTGTCTAGAAAATGTGGGAACCTCAACATCTCACAACCCTATGGGCCTTCACGGCCTCTTACAGGGATACCTTTACTTTACGTTACTTTACTTTATATAAGCTTTTAAGGTATGGTTTTTTATATTAAATTTTTATCTCCTCCCCCCCATAGGCTTCATGTCATGATATTATGCAGTAACATAAGGACATAGTTATGTTTTATACATTGCTTTATTGACATGTTAGTTTCTATAGAAAATGTATCATTCAACTTCTTGCTTTATTTTAACTGCACTTGCACTTGTACTCAGTCCATTACAGAAACAAGGGAGCATCACTGTTGACAATTGATGTGGGCTGTGTACGTAAGGTATAACATACCCTGGTTCATAGAGTAAATAGACTTTACTTGCTCAGTCTTGGGGCTTCACTTGTGGGGCCAGTGCCCAAGTTATTTTGTAGGGAAGGTTTGAAAAATTGGAGTTCTGTAATGACTTCAACTTTTGTTATTTATTGTTATATTGCTGCTTAGAAATGTTCATGAAATTATGTGCTACATGGACATTGATTACCATGTCCCTTGGCAGTCAAAGAAGGAAATTAGGCAGTGTTTTTAGAACTAAGTGTTTATTCCACTCTTCATTGTAATGACATTTCACTACATACTGAGAAACAAGAAATGTTTAATGCATTTTTATTGAAATGTTTACTGTTCTCTTGTTTTAAAGGCCTTGGTGATCTGGTAATCACACCTGTCATTCCTCAGACACCCAACAACCTGGTGTTACCTGCCGCTGACAATAAACCTAAGACAGAAGTCACATCCTGTTGGTCCCGTGTGGGTCACCCAACTTTGGAGGACTATGTCTTAATGAAGGAAGATACATTTACAGTAGACAGTAGCTGCTTCGACAACAACAACAGGTTTGATACTTCAGTAATTTTTATAGGTAAAAATATCTGAAGATGTTTCTTGGTACATGCAGCATTTAATTGTTGGGTGTGACACCATATTGTGGCGTGTAGACCTGTTGCTAGACAACGCCTGCTACACACACACACACACCCCGCACGACCAATAGTGTAGGAACAGTGTTTTCTACATCCGTGGATGGACCATTGCTATGCAATGTGTGCGCTATGATGTCACACAACAGTACATGGCCGTTACATGACATGTTTCTTGCAAGTGCGGTGACATCACGCAAGAGTAGTGGGTAGCGATCATGTGACGTGCTTACAATGATGCGCACTATCTGTCTCTCAGCTACATAAGTGCCATAGCCCTGAATTCCGAGTTGAGAGCGAAATAGTAGCGGTGGAGGCAAGCGAATTGTAACTATGACTTCTCACAACCCCAGGAGGTAATGTAAATGTAAATGTAAATGTAAAGTGTGTTTAGAAGGTTTTATGTGTAATATTTGTAGTGATTTGAAGCGACAGTCTCTGTGTTGAGATACATTACTAGGAGATGACTAGTGGAAGACAGAGAATCCTAGCATGTGTGCAACGGTGAACTGGGAAGTGTATAGATCAGTAGTAGCGCTGTATTACCTGTATTTAAGTTTGATTAAGAGATGGTGTGTAACCAAAGTGTTAATAAATCCAATCATCCGAACTAGAACCTGTAATTTTGTCGCCCGTACAACCCTACACATGACAATATGCTTCAGTGCATGTGTATACACTATCGTTGTAAATGGTGTGTTCAGTAAGGATATATTTGTTGTCTAAAATTCCTGAATTGCTGGATTAGCACGTCTTAAATATTTTGTAACATAATGTTTTAAAGATATTGTTTGGCCCTAGTCAAGAAAAAATATTTCATTGTCAAATGGTTGTAAAAACAAACCAGTAGTAATTCATGTGAGAGAGTGAGTCTCTTTATCATTTCCATTTCACATATTTGTTAAAAGGAATGTTATTAAATGGGTGAATTTTAGCGTAGAAGCATAATACATTATGATAGGCTATACGGTGACATGATTCGAGTTAGTGTAACATGAAGCCCTTCTAACATACATGTATATGAGACTTGTTCTCTCAATTTTTATTATAATTTCCTGAATAAGTAGAAAAATTTCTTCTGCTTGGAGCACATTTTGTTTCAGACATAATTTAATATCAGGGTACTCGAAACACAATCACCTCTGTAGTTCAGTGGTCAGAGTTCCTGGCTAGATCCAGAGGTTTGGGTTTGATTCCCGGTGCTGCCAGATTTTCTGAGAAGTAGTTGGTCTGGAATTAGGTCCACTCAGCCTTGTGAGATTAATTTGGGAAGTATTTCAAGGAAATAGCGGCTCCGGTCTAGAAAACCAAAATTAACGGCCGTGGCGATTCATTGTGCTGACCATGCGACACCCTCTATCCTCTAAAGTTGGCACTAATTTTGCCAACAAACGGTGGTTGCTTGGTCAGTATAGTTCCCTCGCGGACTAAAACCATGTAGTTTGTTTTTGTTTGTTTGTTTATTTGTACTCGAGACACAACAGAATGCAAAAGATAAAGATAAAATTAATTTATTACAGTGTTTTGTATGTGTAAGGCATTAAGAACTAAAAGGTTATGTGATTGGAAAGGGGGCTGTAATTTAGATGTATGTATAGGCCGCACTATAGCGCGAGTGGTTAGTCGCTCGCTTTGCACCGTGGTGGCCCAGGTTCGATCCCGGGTCTGACCAATTGCGATTTGTGGTGGACAAAGTGGCGCTGTGGCAGGTTTTCTCCGAGTACTTCGGTTTCCCCTGCCAATCTTCATTCCACCAATTGCTCCACAATCACCCTCACCTATTATCTGGGCCTGGTACAATAGGCCAGAAGTGGCCGCAGTACAAAGGACTTAGTCCCACCCCACTAGCAATAAAAAAATAGATGTATGTATACTTATTGTGGTTATATGAATTTTTTTGTTTGGCTCATTTTATATTTTGAAGATGGGTAGCAGTTGTTTTTTCCCGTCTATACATACAGAGTTCCTGCAGCCTTGTGGTTGTTCTTGTAGTTAAGGGATTATAGGTGTTATGCAAGTGGACCTTCAGAAAGTAGAAGCACCTATTGAAAAAGGAGGCACTCTGGCACACATACTGAGTATCCATTTGCAGCTCAGATATTTGTCAGTGGCCTAATTTGAGGTACTCTTCCAGAATTTGCTTGGAGGGACTGAGAGAAACCACAGTAGACCTTGGTCGGGATAACTGAAGTCTGAGATTTGAACCTGTAGCTCTTGAACATAAAGAAGTAGTGCTACCCACTCAACCATGATGCAAAAATTATCTGTGCCCACTATTTTTTAGTGACTGAAAATTGTTTAATGCTGAAAGTAACCATTGCATGGCACAATTTTGGTAAATAATAGCATAGGTCATTATTGTGTAGCCATAAGATTGTTGTAACAAATACACAATTTCAATACCATTTGTTTTAAGGAAAACTAAAAAAAAAAGGCTCTTTGGCTACTTATTAGGTAAGTGAAGGACATTATTTTTAAGTGAAAGTTATTATATATGATTTATGTTTTTCTGAAACTACAAATAAGGGTACAAAATCTGAGATTATAAAGACAATACTTCTGTTTGCAGTGAAGGATGGTTGCAGGAGAAGCTGGTCATTTTTACTGTTCACCAGTTGTTGTGAGTTGGACTAAGTAGATTTGTGTAATAGTAGTGGTAACACTGTATTCAGGAAGTGCTCAGTTCATATATGTTCTTTGTAGTTTTTCTTAGTTCCTCCAGGAAAATGTTAGGATAGAACCTTTTATGATGCCATGACAAGTTCCTTTCATATCCTTGACAATTCATTATTAGTCATTCTTCCATTTGATGCTGTATAATGTGAGGTTCTGACAGCACTGAACAGTAAACCCCCACCTTGAACATTGTGGTTGTAATATCTCGCAGAAAGTGTTCCATGTGTGGGGCTGAGATGTTTGTGGAGAAGTGGTGCTAAATATGGATCTTACATTTGTGGGTTGTAGGGTTATGAACTGGATTATATGGCTCAGGACAGGTACAGTGGCTGACTCTTTGGTGGTCATAATGAGATTTACTGAGTGGTTGTAATGTCTCTTGTTTTATCTGATTTGAACGGCATGTCACATCACAATATCAGTGATTTAAGAACTTGAAATTCCAGTTCTTAAGAGTTTAAGTTTGGTATTTGCTTTTTCATGCTGCAGTTCATGTAACCTTTAGATTTTAACTACAGAAGCTCACTCACTGATTTATTGATTGATCCTTCTGTATTTAGTGACACTGTAAGGTTGAATAACATTGAATGAGGAGAACAGTCTTGAATGTCAAGTTACAAATTTTGAAGGAGGCAGTCATGACCTGTTCTAATGCACCATTCTGTCTTTCACTTTGGAGGCTGAGCAGAACTTCTGCAAGAGCTCTGGATCACTGGTTATTTGGCTAAAATTCAAGTCAAAGTCAAAGTCACATTGCAACTGATGGTCAGTCAGTCATTCAGTCTTGGTGTCTAGCCCAGTCTGGGACTTATGACCAGATATTTATTATTGTATGACAGTTTCGGTTGTGTTTTTGTGGGGCGCCCTCTCTTACGAGAGGACAGGTCTGTCTTTTATCAGAGTCATTATCAGCAGTAGTAAGTCATTTGTCATAATGTAAAGGATATTTACATTTTACATGTTAAACATGTTAATAAATATACAGGGCCTCTGTCAGTCCAGGCTTAGTACAGCAGATTATGCCCTATTTCTAGTAGCTTCTGCTACATCGGCAGTATATCCTGTAACTTGAATGGTCGTATGCTAGACTGCCGCCAAGTTTAAGCCTCTTATACTTTCTATATTGGGCTTCTCCCTGTCCAATATTGCGAATAATTTCATTATCATGATTTTGTATGACTTCCACTTGTTGCCCGAATAATTTTGTTATATAATCAAAGTGAGTATCTTTTAAATATGAGTATGAAATCATTATTACTGTGTCAGTGTCCTTGTTGGGAAGGTTAATTATAGACAGAGGTTGTAAAGAAGATGTTCTACTACGTATTTCTGTGCCGGCCATCATTATTGGAACTTAGTTTGATCATTTTTCAGAGCACCATCAAGATTAATAGCGAGTGGCCAGATTGAATTCCATGCCAATCACAGTGCTACAGTTCCAGCAGAACAGGACAAGGACATTTTGTTGGCACAACGACGGAAGCGTGAGATATTGCCACCAATGTGGGATGTATATGAGAAAGTGGTATTTTCACCAGGAAAAGAAAATTCAGACTCCTCGAATCAGAATGGTAACAGTAAGATCATGTACACTGTTACTCACAGGCGGTACATCATATCGAAAGGTGCCTTCCCATGCTCTCTGTGCAAGAGGTGTTTCAGGATTAATCAGGGTGAGGAGATAAATCTTTTCTACTGAACTGACATAGATTGAATTAAATCTGTACAGTCATTTATAAAGTGTACACATATTATGTTTCTGGACATATCCATCGTTCTGTCTTTATCTGAAAGCACCATCCTGTTTATTTTTCGAAACACAACTTTTGGAAACTGGATTATTTCTTCGTCTTCAGGTAAAACCTATTTAGATGAGCCCACTCAATAGAGCTATGTCTCTGTAAAGACGGCTTGTCTCTATTGTGCCTCACTGATTAGGTTTTACCTGAAGACTGAAACAGGTTCCAGTCCCCGAAAACATCAGGGTAATGATATAGGTTTCAAGGGCATTTGTAAGGGTCTGGGAAGAGGGACATAGTGAATTTTACTAAGAAGATTCATTAGTAGGAGGCTTATTGCAAGTCAATTTTTCAGTTATAAAAGGCATAAGTGGTGATATGGGTGTCAGACATTTTATTGGATTTATAATGTAGAAGAAATTCATGATGATGTGTTGGGGAATTAAATTTAGAAATAAAGGGGTATATTTGTTATGTTCAAGGCAGAATTTTGGAAATTTTGTTTGTAGGCTTAGAGGTTCTCACGGTGCTGGTTATGAAGAGTTCTGTATTTTGTGGGCCATGGCACTGTGTAGTCTATTGGAGGTCAGCTGATGTTTTAGAGGGACATGTTTGCTCCAGGGTTAAACAGTAAGCGAAACAAAATCCAGCATGAGGCAAGCAACAAGTGTGCACTGCCCACCACACCCTTAATAATTGCCTCTCCTTACATTCCCAGATCTTCAAGAGCAGCCCTTTTTAGGGCCAACACTAGTTATCCTTGTCTTTCTTTCTATTGGCTCACTCTTTTGTGAGAGAGCCAGTGGAAACCAGTGAGTTGTCTTGCACTCCTTTGGTTCACTGTGTTCTCTGAGTGAACCAGAAGGAACTGACAAATTGTCTTGAAGTTCCCTCCAGTTTTTCTATATAAACCCGAGCTTTTGGTACGGGGGCTGCTCTTCTTGCTACCTGCTTCATGCTGGTTTCTTGCTTAGCTTTTTCTTCACCCCTGAAGCTGGAGGTAACATGTTCCTCTGAAATGTTAATTGACTTTCAGCAGTTTACATGGCATTGTATGCCAGAAGATTGAAGCCTTCATAACCACCGCTGACAGAACCTCAAATCCTACACAGGACATGGCTTGATAATTTTAATTAATGATATTTTTATGACATTCATTGTTGTCCCAGTACTTCATTCCTTGTTTAATGACTCAGGTTATGTATTGAAGTGTGATTTGATGCCTGTTATTTCTCTTGTAGGTTTTGAGCGAGAAGGTTCAGAATCGAGGGATCTGTTTGAAGATGATAACTCAGCAGATATCTCAAACAGTAAATCGTCTGATTATGATGACCACAGTGCTGGCACTACCAACAGTTCCAACTTGAATATGAAGTTTTTCAGCTGTCACATTTGCTGTAAAGTATTTCCAAGGCGTAGTTCACTGAAACGCCATCAGCGTACTCATATGGACAGAAAATTGTTTTCATGTCCTTTGTGTCAGAAGGGCTTCAACCGGAAAGAGCATCTATCTCGCCACATGATTTCACATTCTGGAGGAAGACCTTACAATTGTGACATCTGTTACAAACCATTTACACGAAAAGAACATCTGTCGCGACATCGACTTTGCCACTTAAATGCCTTACGTTATTCCCTTGGTGACAGTACTAGGACCCCAGATCCCTCCATCCAGAACAGCAGTGGTGAGACTCCTTCAGTAGAACTTTCTGGTAATCCTAGCACCCCTTCAAATTCCACCATTGTGCAGGAAGATGACTCCTCCTCCAGTATGGTCAGGCCCTTTGTTTGTGATTTGTGTGGGCAGGGTTTCGCCAGGAAGGAACATCTTTTGCGGCATCAGCTCCGAACCCATCGTACAACCCCAGAAATTCAAGATGAGCTTAAACCCTATAACTGCAATGTATGCTCCAAAAACTTTACTCGTAAAGAACATCTTGTTCGTCACCAAAAGATACATATGAGGGAATTTTTGTTTGGGTCTGCCAGAGGAGTGATTCCTGGTACAGATGTGTCCGTATCACCAGTATTAACTAACCGTGCCACATCTAGTGGAGGTACAGTAATGAAAACAGAACCACTTGAGGGACTGATTCCACATTCAAACCTACCAGGACTCAGTATATCTACTGTCCCCATTAAAGTTGATCCTTCATCTTCATGCGATGGTACCAAAATGAAGAGCGAAGATACAGACGCAAACCAGACAGTAATGAATGGTCAGGATGATGATATGTCTCTGCAGTCTTCCTTGCAGGACAGTGTCGATCAGACAGGACCTTCAACATCAGCAGGAGCTGATATTGGTTGTGGCGAAGTTGTGAACAAACCTCATCATTGTCAGTTTTGCTCAGATAAAACTTTCACTCGGCGTAGTCATTTAGTGAGGCATTTTAAGCGATTCCACTCTGACAAACCATTGAGTCTTGTACTGTCTAGTAGGCGTAGAGCTTCTGCACAAGAGAAACAGGAATTTGAAAGATACTTGCTTAACAATGGGCAGTATTGGTGCATCATCTGTGGAAAGACATTTGGACGTCGATACCATCTTGTGCGCCACATGAAACAGCATGGGCCTAATGAGATTGCACATCCATTTCATTGCTCAGCATGTAACAATTCTTTCAGCCAACATGAATATTTTCAGACTCATAAATGTAAAGGTAGTGATGATCTTGCCCCACAAGTGGGGCAGGAAGAGTTAAATTCAAAAACAGATGGGGAAGGTATATCCGCAGGCACAGAAGAAACCAAGGATGTATTAAAAAAGATGCCAGCAAAACGTGACAAACGGAAAAGAAGCAAGTGTAATTATGAATGTGTAACTTGTGGCAAAGGTTTTTCTAAAAAGAAACTTCTGAACAGACATGCTGAATCACATGTCGACCTGACAGAGGACAACAGTCAACCATTGTATTAGTAGATGCATAATTAAGAGTAAAGAAAATAAGGGAACAAAGGATGCAGAACTAAGTGAAGTCTGAGAAGAGTCAGGTGTTCCTTAGGTATTTGTACTGGTATACATGTAATTCCTGATTCATTTGTGTATGTGTCTTCAGCTGTAATCTTTGAGTTCTATAGCTTCCTACATGGTAAATTTATAGTCTTTTTGAAGCATAATATTCAACTCTGGGGATATAGTCCTGTATGAGGAACATTAATTCTTGCCTTTTGAATTCTACTTTGCAATTTGGGTGAATGTTATAATTAACCCATAAGCTTGCGACATGGCAATCCAGTTGCCATTTCCAGTTAGCTTATGTATGGTTGTCAGCTTTGTAGCCATTAGCATAAAGTCATCTTCTGTTACTGTCTCTTTCCTGAACCTTATTCTGGTAAATGTATATGCATTGTGAAAGTAGAATCTCCAACATTTGGTTCTTAAAGTTATTTTGACTTTTCCTGTTCTATGTTCAGAAAAATCACCAGTGCTTTAACTGCAAGAAAGTTATAATTGAAAAATGGATTCAATTATTTTTACAATGTATGGCTTGTTATTCCAGTAATAATTAAAATGTGTAACAGTGAATATGTCAGTTCTTGTGACAAATGTCAGGATGTGGTAGTCTAGGTTTAAGTCTCTGGTCTTCCATGCAATAGATCTTGGGTTCAGGACCAATCAGATTATTGTATTTGTATTGTATTTAGAGAGTGTGGGTTTCCCCATGCACTAAGACCAACTGTTGGTCCATTGTGCATCCCCCTATGATATTCTACCAGTCTCTATTCCCTACCGGTACTGGTGCGTGCCATCAGTCCCAACTCAGCCGCGAGTTCAGCCTCTACTGGCTCAGCGGTATCTCGATGCTTCCCACATCTACCAGAGGCATTAGAGACTACTGTTGGGCAGGAAATGTCCTGAATTTGGCTCAGTGGTCCCCTTGGGACAGGAGGTTCTTTTGCGTGCCGTAAAGCTACGACACGGGACCCACGGCTTAAAGTCCGGAGGACTTGTTCCCTGAATTTTTCCGCCCTTAAAAATTCCACGACCTCCGCCAGGTTTGAACCCGCGTACCATGAGTCACAAGGTGGGAACGTTACCCCTAGACTACGGAGACCAGTCAGATTAAGTGTATACTTTCTGTGCATGCCTCCCCCTTCTCCTGCCCCTTGTAAAGAAGTCAGAATTTGAAGAATTCCATTTCGTTCCTGTGGTGTGAATGCATTAAGATATGGATCCCCACTGTTGATCATTATTGTCAACCTTGCCTGACCATTATAGGCAGAATAGAAATTCTGTTTGGATACCCCCATTTGAAATGTGGTTTCCTACATTCACTGTAGTCAGTCAAGTAGAGTTCAGAATGGGCAGAGCCTGTAGATCTGACAAAAAAAAATCAAATGCACTGGTAATTGAACTTAAATATTCATATGCATTCATATGCAATGACATACCTAAATTTTCTGTGTAATGTAATAACATTTTGAAATTCCCATTTTGAGGGAATTGTGACATGTAAGAAACACATGAAAATATATGTAAAAAATTCCGTGGCCTGTAGTCCGCAAGCGAACTATACCAACTGAGCAACCGCTGCTTGTTGGCGAAGTTTAGTGGATAGAGGATGTTGCATGGTCAGCGCGATGGATCCCCACGGCCGTTAATCTCATTTATCTATACCAGAGAATTGTCACAGTTGTAATAATTGAGAAATATGTGTGTTTATTATATTCATCTCATACCAGATTCAGTAACACAATTTCTGAGATGATGTGCTTATTTACATTTTACATGAAAGAGTTCATTATGGCACTAGAAACTAAAACTGATGGGTGGCAGAAAGAAAATCCTTGTAAAATTAAATTGCATTTTTGGTTAATTTCATATATTATAAAATAATTGCACTAAACAAAGAGGAATAGGGCAGTAGAGCTCTTCCTACATGTATGGATGAGTGGGCAATGTGTCCATAATTTTCTTGACTCCCCAAATTTTTACACTTATATTTAATTTTAAGAGTGTGTACCAGTGGTAATATGAGAAAACTCTTAAAGAGAAATTGAACCAGAGAACACATTTTACTGTATAACATGAGACTTAAATTACTTTTGTTTTCACTCACTGGTGATTGTCACCCTTTGTTACAGTCGCCAGCTGCTGATTTGCCTCTTATTGTCACACAGTTTTGACAGTGATAATGTATCAATTACTTGGGATCTCATCATAAAAATGAACTATTATACTTCTGAGAAAATAATTTTATGCTCCTGTGAATATGTATATAATATTACACTCGAGCATCCTGTTGCATAAATGTGTCACCTACTCATTCACCTCTGTCTTTAATGAAACATAACTGTTCACAATCTCTCTTTAATTTAAAATAGCATTAAAATGACATTAATTGCTACATGTTTCTGCCCTAGTTGGCCATCTTCATGTAATTGTTCGCTTTTTGAACCTGTCACACTACACTCTATCACAAGTCAATGTATTACCATGCTGTTGCATATCGTTCACGCTAAAATGTGTTTATTTGAGAATAAAATCCCTTCAATGTTATTTTCCTTTTGCAGCGTCAGTGTTTGTACCCCCTTCGTGTGTATGTACTCACTAGTTGGGTGTGTGTACTCGTATGTATTGCCAAATAGGACTGAAACATATAGAAGATGACGTGATTTTAATGTCATTTAAATTAAAGAGAGACTGTGAACAGTTAAGTTGCATTAAAGATGGAGGTGAATGAGTGAGGAATTTGTGCGCACACAGAAGAATTACATTTTTGTGGTGGATGGGGAGATTGTAATTTGGAATTATGGAGCTTCTGGATTTTGTCCAATGGGTCTCTGGTTCAAGTGATTGACAACAGCCCTTTCTAATGGACCCAAGTAACTACCTCTCCACTCTTGTCACCTGAGGTCAGACAAGCCAAGTTTCCAAAACATTTGTTCTTTCAGAATATTAGATGTCAGACACAATCCAGAAACTGTAATTCCAAGTGTAATATGCCATTGTCAGAACCCTTCATAGGAGACTGTAATTTCCTTGTAAATAAGACCATAGATATGCATATGGCTGCAGACTCAGAATACTTCATCCAAGGAGAATTACAGAATTGGCATGTTGAATAAGGGAAATGTGTTCCCCTGTGTCTTTTTGGTTTCTTGTTTATCATTAGTGATTTCTGACAGTGTAGATTAGAAAGGATCCAGACTACATTGGAATTACAAACTTTCAGGCTTTCATGTCTATGAGTGTTCTGGCTTGTCTGTGTTGTGATTCCACGTAGTTGAAGTCACTTTGATTCTGAAGACCGAAACAGGATATTCCTCAGAATATTGGTACCTACCTTGCCGTGTTGTTCTTAAAGGGTTGTTGGAACTAGCCAAGTGATAACACTTCATCTGTTCTCTATAGCAAACCAGAATCACATGTATACAGTTGTTTTAATCATTAAACCTTCCGCTTCAGTTCTGAAAAATAGAATTACATACACCATTTAAGACATGCAGCAGCCTTGGGAGGTTCTCATCTTTTGTGATGTTTATATTCATTTGTAAGTACAGTGGAACCTTGCTTAACGAGCAAAACAAATTGTATAAAAATGATTCGCTTAACAAGCGACGTTTCGCATAACAAGTGATGAGAGGGGAAGTCCCGGATTGTGCGCTTGCTACATCAGTCTGTGTTTAGCACTCGTTCCGCTAGCGTCTTAGTGTCGCTTGTGATCACACATTTTTCCAAACTTGTGTTGAAACATATTATTTGTGATTTTTTGTGAAAAGTTTAATAACCCTTGCAAAAATGTCGCCGAAGAAAAAGCCGCAAAAAGACAGCCATAAGAGAATAAAAATAACCGTAGAAATGAAACGTAAAATAATTGGAAAGCAAGAACGAGGTGTGAGCGTGGCTGATCTAGCGCACACATAGAATCGGTCTACATCAACAATTTGCACGATTTGGAGTTGCATTGTGTTTCACAGCAAGAAGTTGTGGAGGAGAGTTTGTAGGAGGAGGAGGAGGAGGTAACAGCAAAGCAACAATCTTCTGGCGCAATAAGAGAAATGCTGAAAGCATGGGAAACTGTTGCATCGTACATTGAGAAGCATCACCCTAATAAGGCAGTGGCTATGCGTGCTACAGATTTATTTAATGATAATGCTGTGTCGCATTTTCTCCAAATTTTGAAGCGTTGGCAAAAACAAATGTCTCTAGACAGCTTTCTAGTAAAAAAGAATTACGAAGGGAAGTCAATAATTATCCGCAATGCAGTTGTATTTGTGTTTCTGTTGGCAGCACTGTCGTTTTGTGCAGCATCACCACGCGTGGTTTCCTTGTCATTATTTCTGTGCAGGTTTGATGTTGCTAGGTCAGTTCCATCGTTGCTGCCTTGCCGTTAATCATGGCTGCTCCGCTTTCTGTTTGCACCAAAGAAGAGCAACGTTCAGTGATCCGGTTTTTGTGCTCGGAAGGTGTATCAGGGGCCGCAATCCATCAAATACTTTCAGCACAATACGGGAACAGTGTTTTGCCACAATGGAGGGTCTACGAATGGATTGAAAAATTCAAAACTGGTTGCACAAGTGTTACTCATGAGGAAGGAGCTGGACGACCATCCACGGCCAAAAATGAGGACCACATTGAGCGTGCAAGTGACATGGTTCTGTTAGACAGACGAGTGACTATTGATGAAGTGGCAAATTGTCTGCAAATTAGTCATGGTTCTGCCTACGAAATCATCCACAACAGACTTGGATTTCATAAA